AAAATTTATAAATTTTAAAACTATTTCAGTCGAAATTATTAAATTGACATACATCATTGGATCATTTAAAATAGTGTGAGTCCAAATACTATAAATTCAAATAACATATTAGAATTTAAATTTAAGTTATTATTATTGTGTTATTTAAGACTTGATATTAATCTCAATAATTATAATTTTTTAGTGTACAGAAGAGTCACCACACTTATTAATTTTGAGAGCAATTAAATTAAAAAATGTATATTTGTAATCTCGTTGTAAATACATTGTATTTATATGATAAAAAAATCCAAATATAATTTATTAGTCAATGCAATTACTGATTAGCAAATTAATTAAAATTTTGGTATTTACTTTTTATCATTTCAAGCTAATCACGTTATTAAACTCTAACCAACTAATTTAATGTTAAATAAAACAAGGGCCTCCTTAATTTTTCAACGCCAACACGCGTCTTCTTCGATGAAAACAAGCCCCAGGCCCCCAACCGTCGTCTCTCTTTTACAACAATACCCTTATATCCTCACTTAATAAAAATTTTAATTGCACAGTTAATAAATAATAAGGTAAGTGGCGACCAATACCTAACTGGTATCAAATCACCTTTTTTCTTCAATAAACAAAAAATAGTTTATTAATTTCACTTAAAAAAATTGTCTACGTACACTTTACGTACTTGCATGCATCATTTTTCAAACAATTAAATAAAAAAAAGGTAATTAAACAATTAAAACCAAACTAATTAAATAAATTAAATTATAGATAAAAACAAAATTATGTTGAAAATAAAAATACAAATGGGCTGGTAGTGGTAGCTACATAACCATCTGTCACAAATCGCAACGCATATGAGGATAAAATCAGTAAATTAAATTTAATTATTGTGGCCAACTGTCCAAGGTAAGGTCTGTACACCTGGACCATGTGGACCTATTAATATAGATGCGGACAAAAATTTATTCATTCAATTTGTAATAATATAAGATCCCGATAAAAAAATGTTACCAAATATATATTTAAAAAAAAAAAAAATCAACTTCCCATCCTTATCTACTGCAACGTAATAAGACACGCTCTAATATTTATGATATTATTTTTTTGATAAATAATATTTTTTAAACGAACGTTCACTATGATTTAAATTTATAAAATAATTAGAATATTAAATTATAAAAAACTAAACACTAAAAACTATTATTTATAATTATAAATTATTTATTAGTTTAATAATTAATGCGTTTATTTTTTATTTTTTAAATATAAATTTAAATTATGAATCATACATTTTATATAATAAAGTTACTAGTGAAGCAAAAAATGATTCTACAATCTTACTTAGATATTAGTGTATCTCCCTCAATCTTTTATTATGACATACATTTATTATATATCTATATATTTAACTGCAACAAAGATCGCGATTCTTTCATTTGCATATATTATATTAGTATTATTTTAATGAATATAAATATAGATATTAATACAGATATGCGTAATATAAAATATTTTTTCACTAAAAACTCTATCTATATATATATATATGTAGCATTAATTTAAATTGCACGTGATATATCTTGTGAAAGGATTTGCTTAATTTAATTATTATTAATATTTATAATCCCATAAAAGATCTCATAAGCCCAATGGATTTGGTTCCTCGTGTATCCACGTGGTGATTATTACCTCACATGATATTTTCTTTATTAATTTAAGCTGTCATTAGTTTTAATATTTGTTTAAATAATAATTTATGGACAAGTATTAAAAAGATAGGCATGCGTTATTTCCACGTCATTTAATAAAATTAAAAAGATAAAAATATGAAGTTGTTGGATATATAACACAAAAAATAGGCAAGTTATCCAAACAAAATCCTTGAAAAAATGTTACTTATTCAATTTGTATTCTGTTTCCTTTTTCTTTAGTTGATAATAATATTAATTTAAAAAATTAGGAGATAAAATACAATTCGTCTAATCTACATAAAAAGTACAACATTTTTTTATATATTATATTGTAATGATCTTATTCACCAATTTAATAGAAAAAAGAAAATAATAATAAAAATTTACCTAAATAGATAAACTTTAAGCTAAGAAAAATATATTTTATATAGGGATAAATTATTTTACATTATGATACACCAGGGCATAATTTTATGAATAACTTAAAAAAGTTTATTTTATAAATTTTATTTAGCTTACCTTAAATTATTATTGAAAAAACATATTAAATTGATGAATGCATGTTTCTCTAATTTGAACAGCCAACACTTTACTTTGGGTTTAAAAATTCTCATTCGAGGCTATTAATTAATTAACATTTATTTCAGAATTCATTCTAAAAATAATTTATATTTATTTATAAATGTCATTCATACATTATTGTTTATTCATAAATATAGAGCGCAGTTGCTACATGTAATGTCAATACACATGTACATATGTATTTATGCCCATCTACAAAATTTATATACAAAGTTTAAAAAATTATCTTAAATTTCCACGCTTGTGAAGCACAAAATAATTAATTAAAAAAAAACAAAATATTTTAGTGGGAAAAGAGAAGTAAAATGTTTGGTGCATGTGGAATCAAGCCGCCAATTCGCAATAAAAGACTGATGTATCCGGTCCGATCCACCAATGGTCAGTAAAGCGCGTTTGAAATACACACGCGAGAAAGGAAAGTGAAAAAAAGTAACGCGTAAGGCTCGCCTATATATAATTCACCTCCCATTTCGAACACTCCTCTCTCTCTCTCTCTCTCTCTCTCTCAGTGTCACGCTCATTTGCCCTCCTCCTGAATCTCCTGATACACCATCTCTTCCCTCTCGTCAAACCGATTCTCCTCTCCTCTCGCCATTTTTGTTTCATCTCCGAAATCTCGGAAGAAGAAGACTTGAACGCAACAAATTGTGGTTCCTCCATTCTCGCATTTTCTTGTTGTCAGAAAGCTTTACAAGAAAGCGAAATTAAACGAAACGAAGAACGCAATTCGCGTTTTTTCGGTTTCAGGTTCTTTGAACTGAAAGGTAATTGCTCCGTCATGAGGTTGCAGGAGGAGAAGGTACCTTTTAAGGTTGAAGAAGCGGAAAAAATAGAGGACGAAAAAGAAGACGAAGAAGATATGTCTACTCCTTGTTCATTAGGGATTGATGCATTTCCTCAACAACAACAACAAAGGAGACTGGTTGTTGTTGGATATGCTCTTACCTCCAAGAAAATTAAGAGCTTTTTGCAGCCTAAACTCGAAAGATTAGCTAGGTAATTAATAGTTATTTAATATTAATTAACTCTAACTTACCGACTCAACGCTGTTTCTCTCTAACCTCTCTTTCGCTCTGAGAATCGTATGATTTTGATGATAGCTGGTTTTATGCTGTTTATGATTCGTTGACTGCAAATTATTCACGAGATTTTTTGGTGTTAAGATCGTCCAGTTTTTATTTTATTTTTTTAAAGAAAGAAAAAGGTAGCAACGGAGGTTGATTTTTTCTTCTTTGTTGGGAGGGGTGGGGGGTGGTGGGGGAATGAGCAGCATGTGGGATTTTTGGCCACGTATTCTTTACCGGAATGTTTTACAGCTTTACACCTAGATTTCTTTTGGAGAAAATTTGGGAGATGTCAATTTACCGACACTTAAAGTCGCTATCATTAGGCTGTCAAGAAATATAAGCCAAAAAGAAAATTCTGGAACATTTTCACCAATCTTTCTTGCTTTGTGTTGGTCAAAAGCATTCTCTCTTCTGACTCATACGCAACTGCTTAGTTCTAGAAACTGCTGTTCCATTTCAAATCATTTTCTGTGTATTCTGGAAACTGTCTTAATCTCAGTGTTTGGTAGCGGAGATGTGATTTTCTTTCGTGGTATCCGAATTCTTGTAACGTAAAGGTGAAGTAGAGGACTGTTTGTGGCTGTCATATTTAGCCGCTTGACCTACTCAAGGTTAACTAATAACTAAGAGTTAATTAGCTTATTCTTGGTTGACTAAGTTATCCCGAGACTACCTTTGTTGCATATAGATTCAGTCCCATCTTTTGAATTGTATTGTTATCTGAGACGTGGTGAAAAATGGTTGTAATGATGCAGGAATAAGGGGATATTATTTGTTGCCATTGATCAAAATAGGCCCCTTTCCGATCAAGGCCCTTTTGACATTGTGTTGCACAAGGTTAGCAACGACCTCCTTTCTACTATTTATACTGCCAATGTTTCATGCTAGATGGTAACGATGCTATTTTGGGGAGTGTTGTCAGTTTTCCATGCATTTGCTCAATTGCTAGGATTTCCTACTGGATTTATTTTGGAGGAACATAAAACTGTCAGATGCAGATAGTTTTAACTAGGAATTTACTGTTGAAAAGCAAGTGTTGATCCTCTCATTTTTTTCCTGACAAAATCCCTTTGTTTTCTTTCTGTTTGCATTGCAGTTAACTGGAAAAGAATGGCGTCAGATTCTTGAGGTTGGTCTCTTCAAATGCCGTTTTCTGTTATATATGGAATTTTTTTAGTCCGCTGCTATTTACCAAGTTCTGCTCTTGCTATGATATGCTGCATGTTTGATGTTGTATGCTGACCTTTTGCGTGATGAGGGATGAAATAATCAACTGACAGATGGCAGCCATTGTTTTAACCTCCAAAACTCATTACTCTCTGACATAATTGCAGTGCTTGCTCTTTCCTTCACCCTGAACCATGACTTGATAGTTGAGGACGGGGCCTTAAGCTTCCTGCAAGTGAGGATGTTTCTTCTTCCGTGGGCCATGGTCATCTAACTGATGCTTTCAGGTCTCCTTAGCAAAAATATATTCTTTTAAATTCTTTTGAATGGGTTCATTTTACCCCCTTTTATCAGTTGAATGTGAGAGCCAATCCTAATTGTTTTTGAGGTCCAGGGTACCGATATGACTATACCAAATTTCTAGTGTTAGGTGCATTCTAGAATTGGATTATATGGATTGGTCTCATCGTGCTCTCTGTTTTTGGTTTCTGAATGCGCAGTCCGAATGTCAGTACTTCCAGGCCCATCCGTTAACATCTTCTAACTTATAGGGTTGTAGCTGCAAAAGTTTTGGGCCCTGTCAGGATTCAAGTTCTTGTGAAGTATAATTTATCCTATAGTATTTATGTTCTTCCAATTGAATCTGTCATGGCCAATTGGTTTAATTTCAGATGTTTGCAAAAAATATAGAGAAGCTAAAATCCCGACTTCACGGAACCCGTAAAATTCCGAATGGTTTTCTTTTATCTTTTTCTTAATGGACCTGCATTTATCTGCAGTACATGTTTGCAGTAGAGATTTTGTCAATTTTCGCTGACACTGAATTTTTTTTTCCAAACTTTATCTTTAATTTTTTAATTCAGTGGATCTGTGCTAATGGATTAAGAGTAACTGTGAATGAAGCTGCACATATGTGCTGTTATTATATTATTTTTTTTTAGTTGATGTACTATTACTGATAGTAGAGATTTTCTCTATTTTTGTCCATCCAGCTACAGCTACTATCCAGTAGAATTTGACACATATTTGCCATTTTTAGGCTTGCTTGAAGCTATGTTTCCTTTAGGCATATTATTTCAGTAGTTATATGATTTCTTCCCCATATATGTCAGAACTCAAATTCTAAAAATCATACTTATCTTGCTCACAATCTTGATTCTGAGACATGAGACTTTGAAGAGTACGTTTGTTTCAACAGATTAGTGCTTATTAGCTGTAGTATTGTGTCCTTGTTTAGGTCTAATCAAGTACAAAGGAAAATCCAGCTAACCTTGTTTCTAATCAATATAAAATAATATCTTCTTAACTGTGTTGGTTCTCTTCATCAGTCATCATCATTTGGATGTAAATTATGTCCATGTCATTGATAAAAGTGATAAGGGGAATTGATTATGACAATAAGCTTCTCCTTATGTACGAAAATGTAGCTGTTGGAAATTTACTATGGTTGGAATAATATGTGCTGGTTTGCTTTATTATTAGTTTATGTTGTCTCCATTTTTTTTTAACTGGTTGCTTTTCATTAATTAAGCTGCACATACTAATAAATGCTAGCAATTTGATCTCAAAAGCATCTTGATTTTATTCTATTTGATGCTAAGAATGCTCTGAATATATTTGATCACACTTAAATCCATGTTCTTAGCCAGCTTCCATATTTTATGACTTGCATTGTGCCCTCCGCATGTTTCTTGTTGTCGGTTGGCTTAGGCATTATTCATGTTTGAGGTTGTCATAGGTTTGCTATTATCATCACCGAACTTTTGTTTTCTAGATTATTTTTTTAACCTTTAAGTGTTTACATACATTTTGTGGGAAATTATGTGATTCACTAGTTATTTCTCCTTACATTTATTTGCCTACTATTTCAGGACTACCGGCAAACACATCCAGATGTAACAGTTCTTGATCCTCCTGATGCTATACAACATTTGCATAATCGCCAGTCAATGCTTCAGTGTGTTGCTGACATGAATTTATCTGACACTTATGGTAAATTTTTCAAAGCTTTTTCCAAACTTTGAATTAAAAGGATAAGTTGGTTATTGAATACTGATCCAAAGCAATGCTGATGGCTGATGAATTGTTCTGCAGGAAAAGTTGGTGTTCCCAGGCAATTAGTCATAAAGAAAGATGCGTCATCTATTCCTGATGCGGTTGGCATGGCTGGCCTTAGGCTACCCCTTGGTGTGTATTTGATGACACTATATCGTTTTCTTTGCGCTGTTAACTTTGTTAGAATAGTGGTTCTCTAGAGAATTATTCTGTCTTGATAGATGGTCAATTCTTTATTTTCTTGACTATTTGTTTTCCCCAAATATTTTCTAAGTTAGTCTGCATATTTTTAAGCATTTCAGTTGCTAAGCCGTTGGTTGCTGATGGAAGTGCAAAATCACATGAACTATCACTTGCTTACGACCAGTATTCTCTCCAGAAGCTTGAACCCCCACTTGTTCTTCAGGAGTTTGTTAACCATGGTATGCAGCTGCAGTTTCTTATTCCATTTCTTATTAAATTTTTACAGCAGCCAGCAATTTTAGTGATTGCTTTGATTACTGGCACCATTATAGGAGGTGTCCTCTTCAAAGTTTATATTGTTGGAGAAGCTATAAAAGTGGTCAGGCGATTCTCTTTACCTGATGTCACCAAACGAGAGCTGTCTAAACATGCTGGTGTCTTTCGGTTTCCACGGGTATCTTGTGCGGCAGCCTCTGCAGATGATGCAGATTTGGATCCCAGTGTTGGTGGTGAGTCTTTCTTTATGAGAATACTTGCCCCTTCCTAGCTTCTTTATGAATCTGTAATGTTCGAGTTGTGTTCAATTTCAGGAACATTGATGATACTTATTTTTTAAGCTGAAAACTCTAGAAGTGGGCATTTAGTGGTCAACACAGTTTTTAAAGTTTGAGCTCTCAAGTGAGCAGACCTTTTCTGGATTTTGTTAACTTGAGATTTGACTGCATGGTAATTAATTGAAGTTCAGAAAACAATAAAAAGCCTTTTAGCATGTGTAAGAGGCTAGCCCAAGGCATTAATATTGGATTTAGAACTGCAGAGGTATTGAAAAAACGGTGTTGAGTATGGCCTTTGTGATGTTGTTGGGCATGTGTTTAATGTCTTGACAGGCCTCTAAGATGCATTTCTCTCCTTTCTGTTGCAGAGCTTCCTCCACGGCCTTTACTGGAGAGACTTGCAAAGGAACTTCGTCGGCGACTGGTAGATCTCCTCATCTTCTCTATGTCTTGTACACTTTAGTTGTTAGTAATTTGTTAGTCCAATCATTTTCATATGTTGTTTGAATTCTATTGTATATAGGGTCTTCGGCTGTTCAATTTAGATATTATCAGAGAGCATGGGACCAGCGATCGATTTTATGTCATTGACATTAACTACTTCCCTGGCAAGTGTAGCATGTGTTTTTACGTAAAATGGTTATTGCTTACTGTTAGATTCTAGCCCTCCCAAGTCTTGTACAAGCACATCAGGATCTGCCTAATGGCTTTTTGTTTAAAATTTTTCAGGGTACGGGAAAATGCCAGAGTATGAACACATCTTTACCGACTTCCTCTTGGGTCTGGTGCAAAGCCAGTACAAAAAAAGATCTTATTAGTATCTGTTGATAGCCTTCCTCATGTGAAAAGCAGATGGACAGTCTCGGAAGAATAACATTCTCAAGAAGCAACATGCAGGACAACATTGCATGCTGGTTTTGTTAACTTTACTGGTAGCTGGAGGAAGGCAAGTTCGAAAATGCGGAATCCCTGTCCCCAGCGTCTGTAATTATTGACTGGCTGGTAAAATCTTCTTTTATGAAAAGAAACAATCATGTGGTCGGCTCCCTGGAGTTGCCTTTGCTCGAATCCTTGGTTCAATCTGTTCTTTCTATCTTGTGGTTGCATGTGCTGTCACCAGGTGGCATCAGTTGCTGGTCAGTCATGCAGTTTGCTGTATATTCTTATCATTTGTTCTGCATTGTAATAGATGTTGTCTTTTCTGAGGTGAATTAGCCTTGCAGTAGATTGGAACACAGTTATATGTTGCTTCTAGACTTTGACATTGTTCATCATGGCAAGTTGCATCTAGGGTCGGTAGTAATAGGGAATAAGTGGAATCACCTTCATTTAAACTTGAGTGAGGAAATTTCTTCCCTTTTTTGTTTTTAAGAAAAAAAGAATTTGATTATCTAATTAAAATGTAAGACTTGTATTCTTGTTATTGTGTTCCTCTGGTAGCCCATGATTGTTTTCTTCTCCTCATCTTTGCTGTATGAATGAAATATAACATTAGCTATATTCTCTTACTATGGCGTCCGTGAGGTTATCTCCAGAGGAAAGACGAGATGGGAAAGCTTAGCATCTCTTCTGGACATGGTGCCTCCAATATACCCCTTTTGGACGGCTAAGATGTTCTCTTCTTTTATCTACAGACAAATGTTGGAGGTAGGTGCGATGTATAAGAGACATCACTCGTACCATCCGAAAGAACCAAAACGGAACTCATTTTTTCTCTTCTTTCTCTCCTCTGCAACTGATATCTAGTGGCCAATATGTTTTGATAGACTGGTACTTTTAATGTCTTATTCAGATGCAGAAAATTATCAGGTGTTTTTAGTCTATAGATCTTATGAGCATGTTTCAAATTTTTTTAGAAGGAAAAAGTCTGATGTGATCTTATAAACATAATGGGTAACTAACTAATCTCTTCGAATCTCAATGTAGATAACATTTTTAAGAAAGTTGAGTGTTAGTCTTTATTTTTTAAAAATTTATCTCAGCCAGCTAAGGAGGTAAGTAATGAGTTTGTAAAGGAGTTTAAGATATATTTTATGCTGCATGAACTGAATTTCAATTTTGTTATAAAATTTATTTACAAATTCACAGTTTATTACAATGAAAAGTTTATTTAAAATAATAATAATTGAGTTTATATAAAATTATTCAAAACATTTGAAGTTGTTATAGCATAAAACTTTTAGGTAATTATTTTGTCATCCTAATACCCAATATCGCTTACGCTCAGTATAAAATTATAAATAAAGTTCATCTTATTCTGAATTCTTCTAGCGCATAACCTTTGTTTTTAGTTTCAACAATTAAATTGGTGATTTCTTAAATTAAGTAAATTACGCCTAAAATAATAAGTCCGCACACACACTCAGTAAATAGTAGTGTTTCAACAAATAGTTTGAACAGGTAAATTTCAAAAATTTTCTTAAAAAATATTGTTATTTCATGTTTATCTTTTTTTAGTTCATGTAAAAATGCCAAACAAACGCAAAGAAAGATTTGGGATTTTTTGTAAGATGGCTTAATCTCCTATAAAATCTAAGTTCTCTTCTTTTCTCTTGAAAAAAATTAAACTGAACAAAACCCACTCCTTTCTTATCCTCTGTTTTTGCCAATTTAATTATTAAAAATGGACTGATAGACATTGGTTTAAGTTGGCCGACAGTAAATTAGTGGTTTAGACGATCCAATTTGGTAAATAACATTAGAAAAACAAGTAAATCCGAGGACCAACTGGTTTAATCTTTTAAATTTTTTTTTTAAAATGATTAAAATAAAATAAAAAAGTACAAAAAATAAATATTGAGCATTTAAATACTAATATATTAATATACTACTGCTAGTAAAATTTTCTTTAGAAAATAAAAATCTTGTTCTAATTATTTCCTTCTCAAATAATTAATTAAAGCCTTAAAACTAAATAGTAAAATACCAAAACAGACTCTTTAGCTTCTCGTATCCTTGATTCTAAATTGACGTTAAATCATTAATTTTTAATTAATTATTATTTATTTATATTGTTAAATTTAATGTATTATTAATTTTTGTCATATTAATTAATACCAGCAATAATATCCATATCTGGTTGATCGTAAAGCTAAGATCTCTGCTAAATTCGAACTATTTTTTAATGGCTAGTTCTCCCAAACATCAAAACAGTATTCACTCTCTTCTTTTAGACTTAACATCAAACAGGTCGTGAGCAATAAATAAAGTTGAGGCCTTTTCAGCCGGAAGAAGTTAGAAACTGACTAATCACATACAACATCCACAAAATCAAACACACAGCATCAAAGAAGAGCGCCAAAATCGACAGAACAACAAACAGGAAATTACCCACTGGAAAATGGTGTCTAAAGAGGAGGAGAAGGCAGAGAAGTCTCAGTAGCAGAAGCAACACCATCATCGGAAGAAGAAGAAGAAGAAGAAAGGAGAGTCCAGTCAGGAGGAAGAGGAGGGAGAGGAGGGTAGACGGTGGGTTTGCGTCTGACATCCCATGGCTGCGTCTTGCGTGGCCTGGTCTTCATGTGATGCGACGTGGCCTTCTTGTTGGGTCTTGACGAGCACTCTATAATCAATCCGCCAACGCCGCGAGCGGTGGTAAGGGGTGGGAGGAGAGGGTTGGAGGCACGAAGCGACGACGTAAAGGAGAGAGTGGTGGGTGGTGATAAGCCAATTGTAGCAGAGATGGACATGTTTATCTTTCTTCTTGCTTGCTTGTCAAGAATATTGAATTATTGATTTTAGAAAAGGGAGAGAAGGAAACTCAATGGATTTTGTAGTATAACAATGTTTGGGCTATCTGGACCTTTCATTTTGGATCAGCCTTATCATCTTTACATTTTAAAAAAAAAAATAAAAAATTTTTTTAATTTGAACTCTAAAGTTAATCTCTGTAGCTGGGCCTCAAATTTTGATGTTAGAATTAAAACTCACATCTTTGTTTTGGGCTTTCAATTAACCTTTTCCTACCGCTTAACTCTTCCATCTAAAATTGGCCCAATTTTGTACAGAAAATTTATTTAAAAAAACATCCCCAGGTAGGATTGAATTTACTTTTTTTTTCTTTTTAATTAGTAAAATAATTAGCTTTTGAGAAGGAGCTTACAAATATTTCTGTCTTCAAAAATATTAAAAATACATTTCTCTCCCATGGTCACAAATTACGTTAGCAGCCTAATCTTTAGCCCAAGTTTCTCCTTTACGACTTTAGGTAAATTTATTAAACAAATACTTAGATGACTTGTTAGAGGAACAAAATGACATCAGGCTGACGTAACGTGGCGGGTCAAAGTAAACAACATCAAAGGCCAGATCAGAGTCCCCCCCCCCCCCCCTCAATTGCTGCAGCCAAACATAGAATCTTAAGAGCGGCCCATGTGTCATCTCGGGTCAACTCTCGGACCGGGAAATTTTCTATTTACTAATCAATTAACTACATTTATCATTAATTAATTTAATCATAATTACATTTATCATTAATTAGTAAAAAACATCATTTTCTTGTGGGGCCCACGACGCCGCCCCGGAACGTTTTTAAATGTAAATCCCCAAGGCTAGCAACCCAGGAAGCGAGATATACAGTGCTTACGTGGCTATCATACGTAGTCAAGAGAAAGAGAAGGGGAGAGAGAGAGAGAGAGAGAGAGGGAGATAGACGAACAAGGGTATTTTCGTCCTTTCAGAAAAAAATTATATATGTGCCGTTTGTTTGGTGCAATGGTGTAGGAGGAGAGAAAAACTATACCGTCAACTTCTGTCCTAGTTGGCAATAATTGCCAGCTGTGCCCAGCTGTTCTCCACTTTTTTAAATAATGTTTTTTTTTTTTTTTAAGAATTGTAAACTGAAAGCTCTCCGTACCTTAAAAAAATAATTAAAAAAGAAAAAAAAGGGCAAAAAGTGATACTTAAAATGAATATAAGAAGATAAATAAAAAAACAAATAATTTTTTTTTTTAAAAAAATTCAGATATACAAGAATGTGAAGAGATATAGATGTATGAAGAAGAAAGAATACTCTGGTTTTGTGCATGGTGGAGCTCTCCTTGTTCTTCTTCTTGTTGGTATTTGTAAATGGCTAATAGTGGCGCAATGCGCACCGCTTCTTCATCTTCGGCCTCATTCTCTACTTGCACGCATCTCCATGTACTCCAGCCTGGTGATCATGCTGTTCACTCTCTCTCTCTCTTTCTCTCTCGGTAGCTTAAACCTCACTCTCTCATCTCTCCATCTGTCTCTCTCATACTTTTAGCACAGAAGCTCTGAAGCTTAAAGGAGTAGTAGAAAACAATTACAAACACACAACTAGAGAGGGCAAGCACCAAACGGATGGATCCTTGCCCTTTTGTACGACTCACTGTGGGCAATCTCGCCCTGAAGATTCCGGTGGCGTCGAAGCCAGCTAGCTCTGTCGTCCACCCTTCTTCGTCGCCGTGCTTCTGCAAGATCAAACTCAAGAATTTCCCTCTCCAAACAGCCGTTGTCCCCTACATCTCACCGGAGACTTTGCAGTTCCCCGAGGTGCAAACCCTAGCGGCTACTTTCCACCTTAGCAAAGCCGACCTCGACAAGCTTGCTGCCAAGTCCATCTTCGCTGCCAAGACATGCCTCAAAATCTCCATCTACACCGGTCGTAGGGGCACAACCTGCGGTGTCAGCTCCGGTAGGCTTCTAGGGAAGGTATCCGTGCCTTTGGATCTGGCGAGAACGGGATCTAGGGCAAGCGTTTTCCACAATGGTTGGATTTCTGTAGGGAAGGAGGCCAACAAGGGATCCTCCGCTCAGTTCCACTTGAATGTCAAAGCCGAACCTGACCCTAGATTCGTTTTCCAGTTTGATGGCGAGCCTGAATGCAGTCCGCAGGTTTTTCAGATCCAAGGCAACATCAGGCAGCCCGTTTTCACATGCAAATTCAGTTTCAGGACAGGTGACCGGAGTCAGAGATCGAGGTTAGCCTTTTCTTTCATTCTTTCCTGATGTATCCATTCTCTTAGTGTTTTTTTTTATTTTTTTCCCCATTTAACGGCTCCTTTAGTTCATAATACGATTTCATTTTGTCTCAATTGTACTTCCATTTCATGAGTAGAAGTTTAGCTTGCAGTTTTAGCCAAACTGATTTTGGTTTTCTTTTTGAAAATAGTAAAGTTGATTCTATGGACTGAGTCTGAGTTAAGTGTTCACCATAACCGTACGATAAAGCTTACTGTAGAATCGCATTTTCTGCTTTTTTAATCCAGATGTTGAGTCTGTTCTTTCAAAAGCTATTCTGAGTTAATTAAGGATGTAATTAATAAGTTTAATCAGTAATTGGTTTTAATTAGTGGCCTAATTATTTCTTGTAATCGATATTTCCAGATCGTTACAGTCAGAGCCAAGTAGCTCAAGGAGTTGGCTGAGCTCATTTGGTAGTGAAAGAGAGCGACCCGGAAAGGAGCGAAAAGGATGGTCTATAACAGTCCACGACTTGTCGGGCTCGCCTGTAGCCGCGGCTTCTATGGTCACACCGTTCGTCGCGTCGCCCGGCTCTGACCGGGTAAGCCGCTCCAACCCCGGGTCCTGGCTAATACTCCGCCCAGGCGACGGCACTTGGAAGCCATGGGGCCGTCTCGAAGCCTGGCGCGAGCGCGGGGCCTCTGACGGACTAGGATACCGTTTCGAACTGATCCCGGATACTAACGGAGGCATGAGCAGAGCAGGCATTGTTTTAGCGGAGTCAACCCTGAGCTCGCACAAAGGCGGAAAGTTCGTCATCGATCTCGGCGCCGGCTCAACGGGCCGTGCCACGCCGGGGAGCTCTACGTCACCTGTAACCAGCCCGAGGAGCAGCGGGGACTTCGGGTACGGTCTCTGGCCATACTGCATGTACAAAGGGTTCGTAATGTCAGCGAGCGTGGAAGGAGAAGGAAAATGCAGCAAGCCGAGCGTGGAGGTTAGTGTGCAGCACGTGAACTGCACGGAGGATGCAGCTGCATACGTGGCACTCGCGGCCGCCGTTGATCTTAGCATGGATGCCTGCAGACTTTTCTCTCAACGGCTGAGGAAGGAGCTCTGCAATCACCAGGACTTGCTTGGTTAATCCTCAAATTTCCTTTTTTTTTTTTTTTTTTTTTTTTTTGTGCCTTTTTGAATTTTGGGGTTTTTTTTTTTTTGGGAGTGAGACGGGGTGTTTGGCCAGTGGATTTTGCTATTCCATACTGGCTTACTACTACTACCACTAACAAACAGACAACAATCTACAGACTGTACAGTGCGGAGGGGAGTGAGTAACAGGCACGCTTTGTTTTTACTTGTGTGGCTTGTGTTATTATTATTATTATTTTTAATTTTTTTGAGAAGAAAATGGAGAGTGGTCCTTTTTTTTTTTTTTTTTTTTTTTTTTTTTTTATATTTGAAATGTTGGAAATATGTAAGTGATGAGCTGACTCAAAACCCCTTTTTTTCCCCGTTTAATCTGTCCACGAGTTAGATGTAAGTATTGATGAGCCATAATGGCATGGTTTGTCAATTTTTAGTTGGCAACTCAGTATTAACAACGGTTTTTTAGGATGAGTTATCTGTTGGGTAATATTTTGTATGAAAATTTTAACATTTCTGAATTTCTAGTTTCAATTTCTTTTTACGCATGAGAATAATGAAATAGTTGTGTTGAAGAAACGGAGTGGAAAAGTGAGATGTGGGCGCACGTTGGATTATAAGCCAGCTGTAATGCGCTTTTGATGATTAGAGTAGTGGCGTGGAAATGGGGGGTTTAGTAGGGTAGGAAGTTGGCATGCAATCCTTGCGCTTTTTTTTGTCATGTGTATGACCAACCCAAAAGAGCTAGCTAAGTAAACTAATCTTTAATTTATTTGGGTGAAGTAGCTGACCTTCCCATTTTTTGGGCTTATTTCTTGTATAATAAAATTATATATACGAGGAAAAAAAAAATTGTGGTTAGGGTTAGAGAATAGTTATAGTTGAAAGGGATGACGAGCATGTGGGTTGGTGGCCTAGGTGAGTCAAATTTTGGTGTTCAATTTAGGGAAGGGGTGCCCTAGGGAGGGACCATTAAATAGGCATGGGATTCTTCAGCATAAGGAAGTCACGTGAACAAGAACAAAAAAAAAAAAACAAAAACAAAAAAGTGTTATATGTTGAGCACGAGCTACATAAGTTTTATATCATTTTGTACTGTACTAAAAAATATATATATCAAAATGGGCAAGTAATTACTCTGTAAATTTTTAATTTTTTATTATACCATTAGTATTTTTGTATCCTTTAAAAGACTATATATTTGATGTCTGGTACTCGTTTTTATTGTGTGGTATAAAATAGGAAAATAACTATTTTATTTATAGGGTTAAAATTAATTTTTGGATAATATTAAATGTCATAATTTAATTCAAATAAATAATTTTAATGCCGCCATCTGTATTTTTCATTTCATCCCCACTACTTCGCGGCAATTAAAGATGTCCAGTCCAGGCTGAATCAGGGAGGAGGGGGACCTCCCAGTAATACATAACTTGGGGCTATGCCCTAATACCTACGTACTGCCACTCCTCTTCTAGGGTAGGCCTACTACCCCTTATAATAAACATAAACTAACGGACAGTTTTTTTACCTTTTTACTCGCTGTAAAAAAGATATTTCACCTTGTCATCATCACCAATTTTTTTTTCTTAACCTTGAAAGTTTTATGTACTTTTGTTAAGGTTTTATTTAGATAAATTTTAATAATAGTTAATTAATATATAGTAATAATATTAATTAAAAAAATAATAATATAAAATTAAAATTATAATTTTTTTTTATATTTAAATAATAATATATTAATGTATGTTAATAATATATTTTTATTTAGATAATAAAATAATATGATTATATTTTTAATTAAATTATTAATTTATCAATATATATTATATATAATAGTAAATGATATAAAAAAATATTTTAAAAAATAAATTATTTATTAATATAATTATATTTATATTTAAATAAATAAATATTATACATATTTAAATTAAAATTTTATATTTAATAAAATAAATAATTATTATTTATATTATCATATTAATTTAATTATCAAGATAAATATAAAATTAATTAAATTAAATTAAAATATAATAAAAAATAAATAATATGCCGATTAAATACCTTCAATTCAATGGTTTAAAAATTAATCTTAAAATTTACTAATTAAATGTTATTTATTATCATTAAAAATTAAAACAAATATAATTTTCTCCCATAAAACTCATCCATTTAAATTCTACAATTAACAATGATTAGGAGGGTAAAAGTTAGGGTCACGGCGAAGCTGTAAAGCACCCAAAACGGCGTCGTTTGCTGCAGGTTCTCTATTTTTTTGGTACAGAGTTGTAGGAAGAAAAATCGCGGAGGAGAGAGTGAAGAGTGAAGATCAGAGAAAAGGAAAGCTGAAAATGAAGCTATTAGGATGGTGGCTAATGCTGGTCGGCTCTCTGAGATTAGCCTCTGTTTGGTTCGGCTTCTTCGATATATGGGCTCTCAGGCTCGCCGTTTTCTCCAACACTACCAGTGTGTTCTCTCTCTTTCTATTACTTTCATAAATCTGAATTCCTCCTTCTCGATTTCTGTTTTTTTTTTTTCTAATTGATGCATGCATGAACTCCTTTCTTGCTAAGTATAGAATCTGCGGTTTCCAAGAGCGGTGCTTGGTGCCATGGGAGCAATCCTTATGTAAATCGACAACTATAGATTTTGTTAGAGGTGAAACTGGAATTTGCATTTCCACAGAGGAGACAGGCTGCTAATTGCGCGCCACTAATTAGATTTTCGGATCATAAAAATATACTTAGATTAAGAGGTGTTTAGGGTAAAAAAAGTCTCGGTGTGGATCCCGAAGTTCGGATATTGTTGGATTTGGTTGATGGAGAAATAGTTTCGTATTTTGCATCTTCTTTCTAGTGTAGCACATTTCAAAAGCTAAAAATCAAAGTAAAACTTTTCTTTTTCTAAAGAAAGAAAGGGGAAGAAAGAGGAAAAGGAAAAAGGTAGAAGGGTTGTTAGAATTGTAAGAAGTGATGTCAGAATGATGATTTTGAATCTTAAATTCAACTGGGTTTCGGGGACTTTGACAATTCATATTGAAATTTAACACATATTCACTGAGTCTTTTTTCCTTATCATGATAGTTCCCAGATTGTATTTTTCCTTTTCCTTTGTTCTTGCTTTATGCTTGGCGAAATGTCTGGGTTAACAACCCTTTTCTTCTGTTTTGTTTTTTAGGGGTTTAACTAAGCTTTTTAGGAGGTTCCATGAACATTAGTTCCCTTATTATCTTAGTTAATGAGTATGGGAATTCACAATGGTCCTAGCAAGAGCGGTGATGCATATATAGATTGTTATCAAGATTTGTGTCTGTATTTAGAGATACAGTGATGATTTAAGTTTTAGATATCTCGGGGCAAGCGTAAATGATTTCTTGTGCTCTAGGCCTGATTTTTTACGTTCACTTTACTTCTCTTTCATTGAACTTGAAATGCGCCTCTCAAGAGTCAACTTCAGATTGTGTTTTATGTTTTGAATTTGGATTTGAAACGGCTGTCTTTTGACTGTATCTTTGGTTATAGAGAAGCTGTGGTGGTTAGACATGAGTTTAAGAGTAATACTTCAGTTAGGGTACCAAAAGCAAGAAAAGAAACACCTTCTTTTAGAGGAAAAGATAAAAGATGTATTAAAAGGGCACTAAGAGCGTATCAGCCATATACAAAAGAACCAAGAGAAGATGCAGAATTGTGAAACTTAAAAAAATTCAACAGTTTTTCAACTAGAATTCCCAAGGAAAATAATGTGAGATGGAAAAAAAGGACTATTAATTGGGTGCATGAATAACACCGTGGTTATGATTTTAATTCAATGATGGGTGTTTTAATCGATATAAAATATGTATGTGTATACACACACAGAAATGACTCGTAGGAAGAATGATTAAAAGCTGAGATTTCTTAGTGCAATGCAGATTTCTCCCAGTTCCTGGCATTCTGTTCCTTTTGGGTGAGTTTGTGTGCAATACTGTATTTAGAATGAGCTTAATATTTGGAGTGAGGAAGAAAGGTGAATGGGTTTCTGAACTCCTAGGTGTTGCTCCTATATGCTTACTCAGCCTCGTGATTTCTGCATATGAGGGTCCTGTTGCGAGCCAGTTGATTGAGTTTGCGTCTAGATAAAAATCAGCCACTGTAAGGCTATTAGCATTAATATTGACTTTGTTCCAACTTTCGATTATATGGCTCTGTACTTAGTACAACTTAAAAAGAGGATATCAGTAGTACAGGCTTGCTAGTTCAAAATCTGGTTTGCTTATATATATATATATATATATATTTATATATTAATATAATCAGCAATATTTTCATATTTGCGCTTTCTAATTCAAAAGACTTCCTCTCATAGGTGTACTTTATCAGGAATTAGAATGAAAGCATTTTCTTTCCTAGCTGTAGTTCTTGGATGGAGACTCATTACACATTCTTCTCAGAAAGAACTGAGTGAAAACACATTCATTGAAACAGTTGATGTAGAGAAGAACGTTTTCATATCTGTAGTTTCTAACTCAGAAGACTTTCTGTTCCTCAAAACAAATTCAGAAGACGTACTCGTGGATGTGCATTATCTGGATTGGCATGGAAGCATTTTGTTGCCTAACTTGTAGTTGTTGAGGGGAAACTGAAAATCATTTTCTCGAAGAACTGAATTAAAAAATGCATTCATCAGAACAATATATAGAACAATGATTTTCTTTTTCAGTATTCGAAGATTTTATGTTTGTTATGTGCAAATTTGGCCTCTCTGAATTTATCTGTGTTTTCATTTTTTATATGGTATGTTAGATGAGTCTGATGAATATTCTCTATAACTTCTCTGTAGTGACAGAAGTTCATGGAAGGACATTTGGAGTATGGACACTGTTGACTTGCACTCTTTGCTTTCTTTGTGCATTTAACCTTGAAAACAAGCCTCTATATTTTGCTACCTTCTTATCCTTTGTGTATGCATTTGGCCATTTTTTGACGGAGTACCTGTTCTACAACACCATGGCCATAGCAAATCTGACAACTGTTGGCATCTTTGCAGGTAGAGATGTTTTCCCAGCTTGGTGGCTTTCCTACTTCAAAAATTGTCGATTATTTCTTTTTGGGTTTTCAACTATGATGGTTGTGGAAACAGCATGCAGAATTGCACGTGCATACATGATAAAACCGTTATGCTATGTTTGGTCAAATCTATTACATTTCCATTCAAATTTTCTATGTTTTAACTATTTTAGATGTAAATTTTAATCATAATTTATACGTTTAACACATAATTGCACCAGTCCACTCATATTTTCAATTTAAATAGTAAGTTTATATTTTCACTGTCAATAAAGGAATAGTAAAATCACTTAACTTGAATAACTTCAGAATTAGAATATTATTTTCTTTCAAGTTTTTGTCCATTTTGCATTGTATTCTTCTTCCTCTTCCATAAATTAAAATTTGAACCAACCCAATTTAAAAGTCCAGCAATTTGATGGTTTCTTGTGGACATTTTAGATTATTATCTTCTTGCTTTGGATTATCCTAAACCTTTCTGAACATTGATACTGAATACCTCAATTCATTAACTGTTGCTTTTAACAGGCACATCAATAGTGTGGATGCTGCTGCAGTGGAATTCACATAAGGATATCCATGCCAAGCATTCTTGAATTTTGAACTAATTGGTGCTAGCTAGTTCCTGAATCCATTTGCAGATGCTCCAGAATCAGTTGTTACCACATTGCAACACCTGCAATTTTTCAAGGTATCCAGAATATGATGCCAAATTCTGCATACTGAACTTTGAGAAGGATTAGGATTGTCTGCTTCTAAATGCCGGATTTTGTTTGCTGATCGATTTTTGGGCTTTAATCAACCAGGACACTCCAAACTTCTTCAGTTTGATCATGTTACTTCTGCTTTGTCAATCAACAGAACTTATGGATCCTTGAATTCTTCCCTGAAGACTTTCTTTTTCTATAACATGTTCCATTCTTGTGGCTTTGGTTTTGGTTGATTGCTGACTGTTGATTAAACTGGAGATAATCTCATTTCAATAAGTTTATGCGCAAGTTGTGTTAATTTATAATGTGAAAATTACTAGTAATTAAGTATATAAAAAAATGAACTAGATGAGTCGCAAGTGTGATACTGTCCTGATAGAGTATGTTAATTGTAACATATTGGTCTGCTCTGCTATATAATGAATCAAAGGCTAGAATTCAAATACAATCCCCAAAATCTGAAATTGGATTTGCACTTAACTTTTTCTACATCAAGACAATTTCATGCTGATTATTCAAGGGTTATAGACATTTCTAGCATTTCATTTTACCTAAATTTTTCAGTCTCCTAACTTTTCGTCAATAATTTATAAATCTATCTAGCCTCCATGAGCTATCAGCTAAAACTATGCCAGATGTTTGTACAATTCTCAGCCTCTTGATTTATATTCTGACACTATCAAGGACTTATTAAAGAGCCCCCCAAAGGGTAAGCATAAGCTCCAGCAAAAAGGCTGCTCATCAGATATAAAAGCCACTTCTACTTGGGCAGATATGTAGACCCATCTTTGACAGTGCTCCTTTTGATCAATTCCAAGAATCATTCAGCTGCATCCCCAATTCCATTCCTGAGAACTACAAGAGTCTCTTTATCCTCGCTGATCACATGTAGAAATCAAAGGTTACAATTGCTTGTTTTGGGTAGTTATATTCTTCACAAACTTTTTTGGGATTTTTCTTGCCAGGTCTTTCTTGTCGGCATCAAGATCACAGCTTGTGCTAAAATTTGAGCCGAGTTCTGGTTTCACTGAATCAGTGTTGACCTCGTTGATGATCATGTTGTTTTCTTTATTCTTTTCTAGTTTGGTGCTGTCTGTATTCTTAGCATCTTCATCCTTCAACTGTCTTAACCCCCTGATTTCAAAAACACTGTTTGTTGTTGTCTGCGTGTTCTGCATCACAGCATTGGAGGCATCGTCACCCTTGTAATGCTCTTCCCTTATCATCTGGAAATTCTTTACATCTTCATTCTGTGATTGATCCTCCAATGAACTTGACTCATCATTTTGATTTCCTTTATCTTCGGTCTCAAACTCATCGATATCATCTTCCCTTTCTCTGTCTTCTTCATCAATGAGATCCTATACTTCTTCAGGTTCTTCTTCTTCCACTTTCTCTAGGTCATGGCTATCTATCTCATCATCTCCACCTCCTCTTCCTTCCTCAGTTTCTTCACTTTTAACCTCTTCAGTTTCTCCTTCCAATTCTTGTTTCTCCGCACTTCCTCCATTCTTAAAACTTAATGTCTTTACTTGTGGATCGAGATCCTTTCTTCCGAGTTTTATGGGTTCGTGTTCACTGAGCTCCATTTCAGATCCTTCCTCTGTGATCTCCACATATGCATTGCTTTTGTCAATAAAGCGCTTGACTTGGACAAGCAACCAGAAGCAAATTGCTAGAAGTAGACATGCCTGGATAACATGCTTTATCTTGAAGCCCTTTGACCTCTGGCTTCTATTGGGAATTTTCTGCATTTTCAATTACTTCTGAAGACCTCTTCCCCAACTCCAGTAATCAGCAGATGATGCTAAACAAAAACCTGCCATATAAGGATTAAACATCTCAACGTATCGGCGAAAAGGTTACCAATTTAATCAATTCTTCAGTCACCAACCATCAATAAACACACTTCTTACAAACCCAACTGTAAAAACTCAAAGAAGCCAATTAAATCAATTTGCTTCACCAGTCTTTTCTCCTATTATGCTTCCAAAGTTCCTACAAAGCCAATGCCCTAAGATCACCGCTGCCCCATCATCAAGAAATAAACCAAAATAAATTATGAAATCTAATATTGTTATGCCATGTAGAAAATTAAGCAAGCAAATGAAAGCAGAAAAATAATGTACTCATTGAACTTACATGGTTCAATTAAATTGATAAATCCGGATTCACGGTTGAGAATCAGTCATATAGCTCCAGATTATACATGGTTTTAAGCTGTATTATTCATGAATAGGTTACTGTTTGTACTTGAAGAAAAAAGCTGCAATCAATCTAACTAGCTTACACCTATTTATTCCCAGCAAAACCAGACACAGAAGCCGTAAACCACCATGAAACAGATGACGAAATGGTCCATGGATACTATTAAACTCGTCAAGAAACGGGGCCTTTCCACAGAAAATCTAAGAGCTTTCAGAATAATTACTCATCCATTTTGCAATCATTTTACAGAAATCAAGATAAAAGCCAACGGGTGAATTCAAGAACGTACAAGCAGCTACCAGAATCACTTACTCTGGGCTTTTTCTTAACCATCAAAATCGAAAGCTAAAATACCTAATCAATCCATCCCAGAACAAAATTCTACTCGTATGACAAAACAGAGATTAATCCATAAGAAAAATTAACGACGAGAATTCAAGAAACCCAGAGTAATCGCCATGAGAGTTCTCAAACTAGGAATTAAGGAACAGAAGCAGAGGGTTTAAACAAGCTAAAATTCTAACAATGGCTCATAAAAAATAAACAAATGAACGTAACACTGATAATCGGAGACGAAGAAAAGTACCCGTCAATGGCGGAGCCGAAGATCCATTATGGCAAACAGAGAATCGACATGGAAAGTGTGTATGATTTGTCGGGTATGGAGCTAAACAGTAACATTATCGCCATGAAAACGAGGGTTTCCAGAAAAGTGAGGAGGAGAACGAGAGAGTGGAGTAATGAAGGAGAGATGGGTAGTTAAGGGATGAGAATAACGTGTTTTTCTTCATGAAAAGAAAAGCAGCCAAACAAGGAAGAGAAAATTGTCTGTCTCTGATTTTCTGCTTGCGAATTTTGTGAGAAGGAGACGATTACAAATGTCAAACGCATTTAACACTCAAATCCAAATCACAACTGCACAGGGACGAGCCACGGTTTTTCTCTTTGATTGCATAAAAATCAGCAAAGAAATTAGGAGAACCAAAAAAGAAATGTATATAATCTTCAGTTTAGAAAATTAGAAAAATAAAATATAAGGTAATAAAATTACTTACTTTGTTTTATTTGACTAAATAATAAGAAAAATATTAATTATAAGAATATAATTAATATATTTACGTTTTTTATTATTAAAATTTTAACAATATAATATTCCAATAATTGTATTAAAGAAAAATATCCATGCCAACTCTTCTAACTACATATTTAATTTAATTTTTTTTTAATCTATTGCAATTTTTGGAGAATTTAACTGTTATAAAATATATTTTATTAAAATAATAATAATAAATTTACTTAAATTTAATTTAATAATTATAGTCTCACCTAAAACAGTAATAAAATAAATTTTTGATTATATTGAACCAAAAATTATTTGATAATTACTATAGAATATTAATTATTATAAAATATTTATTTAATTTAAAAATATAATAATTTCGTTAGAATTTAATTTAATTTAAGAATTACAAAATTATCAAAATATTAATGAATTAAATTTTTAATTTTATTAAATTAAATATTATCATCAGTCTATAAAAAAATAATAAATTTATTAAAATTTAATCATTAAATTAAATATTATTTGCTCTCTATCAGACAATTACCACAGTGAATTCTCATGGAAAAATAAAAAGCAGGTGGAGTAATAGATATGTTGGTCCACTGGTTGCCAAGTTTTCGTTACTTGTGGGTGTCCCATTTGCATCTGCTATTCATGCCTTTGCCCAAAAAACGACGTCGTTGTTTCCAAACCCATTTTTTTTTTTTTTTTTTTTTGTTCTCCGGGAACAAGACAAACCTCGCTCGCCATTATCTTTGTTGTTGTTGTCTTTTTCTTTTTTTAAACAAATTCCCAGTTATCTTTTTGGCCATTTAGATACATATAGTTTAGTATGTGCAAACTGTGAATCAATGAGATGGGGACTAGCTTATAAGCCTTTTTAGGAAATATAAAAATAATGGCGTTGTGGATTTTATCTATACATGGAGCAGACTGTCTCATATTATTCATAGAAAAAATGTATTAAATAGATTAGTTTTGAGATATATATATATATATATATTTTTAGAACTCATTCAATATTGCGGCCATAAGTCACAAACGTGTCTAAAGTTGTATGGTGTGATTATCAAAATATGATTTGGAACTTGTAATTATAACAATATTTTAATTAATTAAATTTTGACGATAAAAATAAGAAAATATGATTTCATCAGTTAAAATAAATACAACAATTAAATGCTCAAGGCTGATCCTATAATTTTCAGTCTTCAGTCTTCAGTCTTCAGTCTTCACTTCCCCCTCTATCTGTCTCTTTGAATCCTCATTTAATGTTTCTCCGCCACCTTTATGTGATATGTCATTATATCAACTAACCTTACTGATTTACATGATCAGAACAACAGCCATACGTACTGCAATTTTAGTATTTTAAATTAATTAATTAATTTAAAACAATCTACTAAAGTGTTAATGGAGTAATAATTAAGATTCTTATTTTAATGAAATTTAGAGTTTAACTAACGAGTCTCTCTTGTACCCCCACAAAAATAATACTCAAGTCATATGTAATGTGTTTCCCGAACTTGTCTCATTATTGTCAAAATATATCTCATTTAATATTTTAACTCTCAATTTATTTTACCAAACAAATCCTATTAAAACAGTAAAAGTCGCTGCTAAAGCGCAAACTTACTTGAAAATTTATATGAATATAAAGAGAAATATCTTATGTTCGTCATTCGTTACAATTTTTTCCATCAAACTATAAAATAATTTGAAAAGAAGGAATATATTCATAAGATAGAGTAAGACACAACCTTAATAATTATTTCTATGCCAACTTTGGATCAAATAGTAAGATTTTAGTTGTTCAATCTCTTACTAAAACGATCTAACAATGAAATCAAATGTATTATGCAAAAAAACAACTTGTAATAATTGGAAAGTCCAATTACCTCTCATGTTTATCCTTTAAATAAATTATTTTGTAGTCCCTTTAAAAAATTTGATAATAGATTTATATAAAATAATATATTAACTCTGAGAATACAATATATTTTCTTAATTTTTAAGATTTTTTTTTTTTGAATGTTATTTGTTTAAAAATTACTATGTTAGCAAATAAAAGAAGAAATATTCGTCTCGTTAGAGTAAACAATTTTGGAGGTAACTATAGAGATACAAGATTCGTTCAATGTAATAAACTTTGAATAAAAATCTAACTGAATATTAACATACTCTCTAAAAATATCAATAAAATTTTATGTTAAAGTTTATCGATATCTAAATTTAAAGCGAAAGAATCATGTTTAAAGTGTGTATTAATAGTAAACTTACCCGATATAAAAAAAAAAAAAATGTATAAGTATAATAAAATTAAGTATGTTAAATAGTTTGTGGTTAGGTTGTATAAACTAACAGGCGGAAAGAGTAGAGTTGTGCTAGTAAGACACAAACAAAATGATTTAGAATTTTGGAAGTCCATCGCTTCTCAGTATGATTGCTTAAAAGTAAAATAATAAGAGAAATGGAGATGAGTGTCGAGGGTTTAAGTTTAATGGGGAATTTATCCCTTCGAGGTTGGCTGTCTAAACGGACAGGCTTTTTCTCTCTTCTGCTGCTCACAAATCTTGTAAGATACGAAAACGAACTATCTGACATTTTATCTTTAATTATTTACATCTTCATTTTTTATTATTCCCAAATTAACATTTTCCATTTCATTCAATTAATGACTTATTAATAATTTATTTTTCTAACAATGCATGTCAGAAAGAAAGAGCTATTTTCGATTTTCTTTTATTTATTTATTTATTTATTTTTAAGCACCCAAATTCTTATTCACGGTTTTTTCAAAGTCATCTTTTTTTGTCACACACAAATTAAACCATTTATTGTTTCAAAATTCTATCGAATATAATACGTGAAAATTTGAAAACAAAAATAAAAACCCTTCCGAGAGCGGAAAAAATAGAAGAAGAAATTAAAAATTACAGGGTGTTACTATTATTATACCATGGACAAACAGAGAGAAACTGTGTACAATTAAGAGAAGGGAAAAGTAAAAAAACTAAAGAAGAAATATTAATAAATACAAACTAGATTAAAAAGTAAATTTCTTTTAATCAAGGGTTAAAAATGAAGTTCCCACACTTGCACTTCCAGCTAATTGGCTTGTAGTTGGAGACGTCGTCGCCCCTCGAGTCCGGAATAGAGAGAGTTGCAGAAGTGTAATGGCTTCTTCTTCGGTTCTGGTTTACGTTTGTCACCGGCACCTGAATTGCTTCGCAGTGCTCACATGACTTGCACCTCCTCTCGCACCTCGGTGGCGCCGACCCTATCAGATTCCTCCTCACCATCATCATCACCTTGTCTTCTTCATGATCTGCTTTCTGTTTATATATAAGCGAAATTCAACACCCAATTCCTCAGAAAGGTAAAAGAATATGATAGTTATAGAATACTGCACGTGTATATGTATGTATTTATGTATATACCTGGGTAGCATTTATTAGCTCGGAAATAGCTCTGGCTGCAGCAAATAGAAGAGAAGAAAGCTCAAAATAAGAAAAAGGGTATTCCTTCTTTTAGTTTTTCCTACTATATCTGGAATATATATATATATATATATAATTACCTTCAGCCACGAAAGTCACTTGGGTGAAGCTTGAAACCAAAAGAAGAAGCAAGGAAATGATGAGGTGTCTAGTTGTTGTGCGACAGAAAATGCAATTTTGGGAGCTACCCATTGTTTTTGCTTTTCTTTTCCAGAATGCAAAATACCTCTGAGATAGGATAGTGTAGAAAAGAACTGGAGGGGGATAAAGAGAGAAAAAACTGATGAGGAGCAGAAAAAGAAGACAGGATTTTAAAGGGTGTTGAAATTGAATGATAGCTGGCAGTGTACCGAAGAACTGAACCTGAATCAGAAGAGAGAGAGAGAGGGAGAGAAGGGGAGGAAAAGCACCCAAATGCCAAGAAGATGAATCTGTGGCAAGGCTTTTATGGGTGGGTGAGTATCTGTGTGGGTTCTGTAAATGAATTAGGACGGAACGTGGAGGGCAAAAAGGAGTCAGAGAGAGGGAGGACCTCAACCGAAAGGGGAAGGACCTCAAAGGCCTCGTTTCATGAGCCACTCACAAAATAACCAAAGACATGGTAAAAGGTAAACAAGAAATCCAAAGGAAAAATAATAATAATAAAAGGGAAATAGTAGAAAAAAAAAAAAAACAGAGAGAAAATTGGGAAGAAAAAGAGATCTCTCTCACAGGAAAAAATAATACCTAATGATGGAGAGCTTTCTACAAAGAGACATGCATGTCACAGGTATGAAATAGAGAGAGATTTTTTTTTTTTACTTACACTTGCTTTTTTCCTTCGTGGGGGTTTGTGAATTTTGGGCGGTTTGTGAGCAGCAGTTCAACTTCAACACGCCAAATCCAAATCCATTCACTATAAAAGTGAAAAATACAATGCAAGGAACGTGTATATGTATCTATATATTTCCCAAGGAGGATACTAAATTGAGTTGGGGATCTAAGAGAATAGACCTTGCTTCTGCACTGGCTTCATAACCCATATTTGGCAACCTCGATTACTGACTAATGCACAGAAGAGCCTTGATTTTAACAGCAAAAATTCAAATTCACGCGCAGTCTTTAAGCGAACTGGATTATCATACGAATAGATTATTTTTAACTTTACCCCTTAATAATAAAACCAGAATAATTTTACATCTTCCAAGAAAAGGTATAGCGTGACACCACGTGACATGTATATAATGTTAGCATTTGTTCATTTCAATTCTCTGTTTCAGGCAGCAAGCGCTCGTGCAGAAATAAACCACTACATAGATTTCAATGATCACGTAATCATACCGTACTCTCAAGAATGACTATTTACAATTACAAAACACTTTGTTTTGTTAAAAACAAAATTAATGGGTTTACGAAGAGAGCAGAGTCTAATCAAAATCATATAGATTTCAAGAATATAAAAAAGTTTTGTCTTGAAGAATACCTTTCGTAAGTAGTGCTATCTAGTTCACATCAGACCAACTTGGGGATGGTGGCTCCCGTTGGAATTCCTCCCTTTCCTTTCTTTTCTTTTCTTTTCTTTTCTTTTTTTTTTCTTTTTTTTTTTCCCAATAATTGCAAGTCACATATTTATCATGACTTGCTGAAGGCCATGCTCCTACATGTCAAGGCACATGGGCTCAAGTCAAACTGGGTTTCGCCTTGGAGAAAAGAGGAGACAGAGGGCTAATCTATGAGTCGTTTCCTACGTTTATGACATAATAATATAGGTGCGTACTTACAATGTTGCTTTGTAAGTTGTAGCTGCAAATTAATGGTTAAGAAATTGCAAGAAACACCCAATCATCAGTCTTAAATTGAAGATAATGATTTCAACTTTACAATCATTACCGAGTTGCTGTGCGCTACAGTGCGGGTCCTTGACTAAATTAATTAACCGAAGAACAGGCATTTAACCTTGCTACAAGAAGGAAGCTAGGAAACCTGTTAGGCTGTTTTCCCATTTTTCAATGATGCTTCTCCTTCATTTCTTTTTCTTACATAAAAGATGTATTGAATATTATTACCTAGGACAGCAATCAAAGCACGCTTCGTAAATTTGTACTAGCAATTTTTTTTTATATTATCAAATCTAATGAAAATAATTATTTTAGATGTGTGTTCATTAGATTTGGAAATAAATTATTATGACGACCATTCCTAATAAAAAAATAAAGATGTGTACAAATTAGAATCCACTGCTTGCTGCCTTTTTAAATAATATTTTCCTTAAATTTTCTCTCTCTCTCAAATATTTAATAGTTTAATGGCTCCAGAACATCATAAGAACCGGTAACTTGGACTTCAGATCTTCCCTCCTTGCATTTGATCAGCGGGGTATAATGATAAACCAATTAGGTCGAATAATTATAAATCACGTGCCTTTCTATAGTAAAAAATTGTCAACCATGTGTTCAACGACATCAGCTCCATCAGAATTGATGCAGTATGTTTTTACCTGAATAGAACAGAAGAGGAAATATGAATATATGTCACTCATCATATCGCCATCCGAGGGGTGAATATCACAAGCTAATATATTTTATAGCATAGCGGCTGAATCATCTTCTTGAAAGAATAAAAGTAAATGTACATCTCCACAAGGGGAGAAGAAGTAGCTTGCCTGAATTGTATTATGCGCAAGGAATCTTTGTATACTTCCACTGAAATCAACATCAACTCGCTCCCAGGCCACCTTCATTAAACCTCTGATAATTTCTTCTACATTTTCAGCAAAAAGGGAAAGGGTAAGAAGCACACAATTGATCTATGTTAGATTAAGAGCTCAAAATGCAAATATGCAATGAAAATGAACCGAGATACCTCAGATGCAAATGAAAGATTTTACAGCCTAGAGAAGCAACAGAATGAATGATATGATCCTCTAAAGCTAAGAAGAATATGAAAAAAAAATCTAAAACTAGCTACTAGATTTCAAGCTCTTGAAACATAGGATTTTTGTTTGAAAAAATAAAATTCAAACATAGACTTTTCCTCCAAAAAAGGAAAAAAGAAAGTTAAGGAAGCAGCCATCTTCGAAATATTTTCTCATTTCTTTAACAGTCAAAACCAAAGGAAAAGGCTTCTGAATGTCATATCATCAGAAACATAAAAGGATGTTTGAGCTAACTTTTAAATGATCCATTTATCCTCAAATTACAGAACATAAATAATAAACAGATGACAATACCATCATAGGCATTGTTGTGAAAAACACACTTAAGACTCCATAAAGATGGTCAGAAGACCTTAAAATTGGCTCTACTAAGTTATCCTCCTCCAGCTTATTAGCACCTCAACTCTTTTATCTTTGACCAATGGATTCTTCGTGTTGAAAGAAACCTCTGAAAGTGGGGGACATAATAAAGAAACATCAATGGGAGCTAAACTTTATCACTAAGTTATTTATAATTTTCACCAGTTCAGGCCATTACATTCTGAAAACCTCAACAACGGACGTTCCAGTGGACCAAAAGGACCATTAATGCAACTCTAATGATTCGCACCCAATCACTGAATCCATTATGAATAAGGACAACAATCACCTATGAGGACATTTGAATATATTGAAAATGTTAGTCATCCATGGTCGTAAAGCAAATTCAGAACAAACTACAGAGGCAATATCCATGCTAGGTAAGTGACAGATATAAGCATTCCCTGCCTAGAAAGTTCCTTCCACTGAAATTGATGCACTTCCAACATTTAAAACTTCCCTGGTGGAATCTTCTTTGCATTCTCTAAAATCCATTCAACTAGCAGCATGCAAACAATTTAATCACCAACTCCATAGCCTCAAAATTAATTTTGCAATTACGCATACAAATAGCAAACCAAAGAGGGAATCCTGGTTAATCTTTATGATTTTGTTCAAATCTTGTTAGAACTTAAAGTGATTCCCGTGGATTCCAAATAAATCATTACCTACCTCTCCCAACAAGGATAGGTAAGGCTCCCAGCAGCTCAAATAACGAATCTTTAACCACAATAGAACATTGAAGTTCTAAATTTCTTTTTGGGTAATTTTAGAGGTCAATTCAGAAAGCAAACTTAATCGAACCTTCAATATTGGCATTTTTTAACCCCTCGAATTTGATATCTGATGGAACTTGAACAGGACTCATTGTCTTTGCTGTCTCCACATTGATAATATGTGGATACTTATCATCTCTTGAACGAAGTTGGAGCTGATTGGAGAAAGTCAGCGTAAGATAAACTCCTGATATGATTCAAAACTTGCAAGTCACAAGGAAAAGATGAAGAAACAGCTTCCAATTACCTTTGGAAGTTCATGCCTACGTCTAAGAGAAGATGTACTCCATCCCACAATGTCTAGGAAAGGTGTCAAGTTCTTCAATGAAACATAAAAGAAATCAAGTGCATCAATTCAACTCGATTACCACTCAACTTCCCATCTTCATCGAACAAATTAAGGATCCAGTATGAACATCTGCTAGACGTTTTTTTTTTATCATCTGGCACGCAAGTTGCCATAAAAGAGCAGGTACAACAAATAGCAGTAGCATATACAGGATACGATCGAAACGCACATTTGCATAGACAACACGACGCTCAAAGCACTCCAAAGCAGATCTGCAGAGATAACAAAGACAATGACAAGTTTTAGGCACTTGTACTCAAAGTGATAATTCCTTTCTTCCAAAATCACATCCAAGAAATTAATGGGAACTCACATAAATCTAAGATCTTCACAATCACTGGCCATCCGGAAGAGAAGAGGAGGCTTTCCCTCATCATTGTCAGTTAAGAAAAGATGTTTTCCAGTTCTGCCAAGACACCATGATGCAGAAGCTGCTATTTTCTCCAGGGTCTGAAGACCACAACATACTGGGACCTGAAAAGAGTAAAGTCACCAAATATGATAATTACAAGGTAGAAAGCATAAACGAAAGCAGATACGTTTACATTATTCTCATGTTAACTTTTATTTCACAAATTTACTTATCAGTAATGACTTAATTTTATAAGAATATGTTCTTCAATGTATTCCAAGGAATTCAGTTGGAGTCATAAAGTCTGAAAAATTTAACATTAGCAAGATCTCCCGGGGTTTCAAGATATATTATCACGGGAGATGATTCTTCTTTCTAATTTGAAAGCTTCATTTGACTTAGACAGAAATCCAATTGCTGCCAAACAGAACTCCAAATGGAACTAGCTATAATTGTGACTATATTTTAAAGCAACATTTGGTTATATTAACCAACATGAGAGGTAGAAATGAATCACCTGTTTATGCCCACTGGAACCGAGGTGCGGGGTGGCAGATGTAATGAAATTCATGGGCTCAAGTCCAGCAATTTTTCCTTTGAATTTCTCTCTTGTACTAGATTCTTTAAAATTATCATTTGTGCCATCTCCATTTTGTTGGGAAATGTCCTTTACTGGTTCTCGTTCATAAAGTCGAGCAATAGCATACCTTGCAATTAGGCCACCTAATGAATGGGCAATGAAGGAAATCTTGCAAACATTTGAATGACGCCTTATAACTGACCTAACCTGAAAGAGACTATTATCTAGAACCGATATTTTCAATTCAAGGAGATTCCTAACCACAAATGAAAAGGGAAAAAAAAAAACTATGTTTCAGTTATAATAAAATGAAATTAGGAATTTGTTTCATTTGCACAAGTTTTCTTGCTTTTCCAGCAAAATTATGAATGAAGAAATGAAATCCACAAATGTTATGTAATCACTTTCCTTGACAGTACAAAAAAATCAGTATTTGGTCATGAAAAAAACATCATACCAAATTCAATTGCATTTAGCGAAAAAGAAAGTCAAATCTTAAGATACCAAATCCATTACGCACCTCTTCCGCTAATCTGTCTCCCATAACATCAACACCATCAAATGTCAATGTTGAACAATTAGACTCGCTGCCTGCATTGCACATTAATTATAAATATGCAAGTCACTGCATAACGAAGCTAGCGACACTATCAATTTTTAACGTGCAGTCAGACTATAAGCTTAAGAAGGTTAATGATGAAGCCTCTGTTTGCTAAGCGTTTGGTCCAAGTAAAGACAACGATAATCACAACGATAACGTTGACAATCACAACGAAAACAAAATCTCAGCTAAAACTCAGGATTCTTTAGTTACACGGTAACAATTAATTAAAACTTCACCAAACACGCAAAAACCAGTACTGTCGAGATAGAGAAAGCAAAGAAAAATATTTAAAGGATCATCAAACTCACAGTGAACGATGAGATCTTTTGGATACTTATTCAAGAACCGTTTTGCGGCGAATCTCCAGTTCTGAGAACTGCACCAGACGTACATCACCAGATTTAACAAACGAAGAGGACAATTTCTTAAATCAGAATCGAATACTACAAGGATCAGCAATCAAAATCCTGAACACTTTAACCTGCCGATAATACCGTTGATCATGATCACGAGGTGAGTAGGATCGCTGGGCTCTCCAGCTAAATCTACCTTCATGTCCACACTCCCGTTCTTCTCCGATTCAACTCTCAAGCATCCAAACTTAGGCCTCAGAGAAAATCTACTGATTCGTTTACTTCTGCTATCACTCTTCACCTGTGCCCTGCTCCCAATCTCACTACCATCGCCAGTTTTATTTGACCTTCCATTATCCTCTTCTTCTATTGTATGCTCAGAAGCATCTGGCTCTTCAGTCGCCATGTGAGAGAAGAAATCTGACAAGAGTAAAAGAGAGCTGGTGTGATTCTGAAAATACTGATTGGTCAACAATGACTACAGAGGTCTGGAGACAATGGAGTTGAATAGAATTCTGAGAGAAGCGGTTTTAGTAGTTACGGCTTTTGATTTGAGTTGTGGGTTCATCCGGGTCCCACATTTCTGAAATTAACAGCACTTGGTTTTCAGTTAAATTACGAGTTTGTCTTCATCTCATTCAATGAGCGGGAAGGGTAAATATGGAATTTTATGTTGATAATCAGGAATTTATAAGGCTCTGTTTGCCGGTTCGTTTCATATAATTTTCTTCGGCTTTATGCCTTTACTTACTGCTGGGTTCTAGAAAGGGACAAATTGACACGTGACTGTTTGGTCATACACATTAATTTTTAATGCTATACAATTTAGGCGGCGATTTTTTTAAAAAATATTAGCTGGTTTTCCTTTTTTATTTTCTTTATTTTTTTTTTACAGCAACGTATTTGTTGCGTTACGAAGGTCGTATATTAAATGGACTTATATTATTAAATATAATATTAATATTTTCAGAAAATATAATATTAAATATTGCACAAGTATAGATATTTTAATCCTAATTTAAGTGATTTATTTTTTATTGGACCTAAAAAAATGTATTTACTAAATTTTATAATAATTTTCAATATTTAGAAAAGAAAAGAAAATATATTACTTAAAAGAGTAATAATAAATTGCGAAATTCTTATCATTAAATTTGTCATTTTTGAGAATAGCAAATAATTAATTATAATATAAGCTGGAAATAAAATTTTTATAAAAATAGAGAAATTAGACCACTTGACTTGGATTACTATAATTCATTCATGTCTCGGTATATATATTAAACAAATTTAAAAATTAGTTTCTAAAATAATAACAAGACTATAAATTATATGACACGGTGGAATCTCTCAAAAACTTGAATAGCGTTTGGTGGCAAACAAACCCTTGACTGTCCCCATTTCCCTCCCACTTGTACTTGAGTCGCTACCAGACGACGGCTCTGCCAAAAGTTGTTAAAGCAAAAGAAAGGTCGGCCTCCATCGCCACTACCAGCCTACCGGTAAGTTTTTAATCTCATCTTCCATACTCTATGCTCATCATTCCACTTCCACATCTTTAATAATCATTTCTCTCAATAAAAATTATTTTCAAAACCCAGAAAAACTTTATTCTTGGATTGACTTCCCTTCTTTTCTCCCCTTCTACTTTTACTTGTCTTCCGAACGGCCCAAATGCGAACACATTTTCTCCATTAATGGAGCTCTTGTTCTTCTCTTTGATTTTCCATACTGTTCTTCTTGTTATCCAGCTGGGTCCTGTTGTTGGAACAATCCCGGACCCGAATCGCCAGGCATTGTCGAGAATTCATGTGGGTAATCAGGTACTGAGTGATTTGACTATTCAATTAATCCATTTCTATTTAAAATTTGACTGTTCTAATCTACTTTACATTGAAATTCTAACATGGTATGCACTAATAAATGCACAGAGAAAGAGCAGAAACCATGCAAAAGATGACATTATACCCAACCCCAGATTTGATGACGGGCTTAACAACTGGTCTTGCAAAGGATGCAAGCTTGCTTTACATGAATCAATGGTGGATGGGAAAGTTTTGCCGCTGCAAGGGAAGTTCTTTGCTTCTGCATCAGAGCGTACGGAGAGCTGGAATGGGATTGAGCAGGAGATAACAGGGAGGCTGCAAAGAAAGCTTGCTTATGAGGTCAGTGTAGTAGTAAGAGTATATGGTGATAATATCAATGTCATTATTAGTGCTGGTGTACAGGTTACGCTGTGGATCCAAACACCAGATGATCGTGAATTGTATGTCCACATTGCCAAGTTAGTTTGCTGCCTCTCTATTTCTGTTATGGATTTTATATATATGTGAAGTTTTCTTTGATATATATAGTTAATTTATGTGGCTTGATAATGGGATATTTTGTGCATATATGGAGGATATTTTATGCATATATTGAAGAATATTCCATGAGGAAGTCCTTATACTTTATCTATATAAGTATTTATAATTTTATTGATGATATACTCTTAATTTTATTATTATAAAAAAATTTCTTCTCGGTCTTATTCATGAATGTGGACATTTTTTGCCGAACCACATTAAATCTTGTGTCTTTTCTTACTCATACTTTACTTTGCTGCTATTGTGTGCATGTTTGGGATTATTTTCTCAACACTTTTACAGTTTCTTCATTTAAAAGACCATTGAGTTTGGTTGCAATAAACCAAATCATAAGAAGTGAAATTGTAATTTTTAATATTTTTTCTATTAATTATTTGGTTAATTTAAACTCAGTCAACAAAGATAAAACTTCTTTTTTGTGATGAAGTGTACAGGCAACAGATAAATCGTGGGTGAAGTTGCAAGGGAAATTCCTCCTTAACAGTTCTCCATCAAGAGCTGTTATATTTCTTGAAGGTCCACCTCCTGGTGTTGATATTCTTGTCAATAGTTTCATTGCGAAACATGCAGATAAAATGGCTCGTTTGTCTCGGCCGATCATTGAGGTTGGTGAATCAGCAGGTTTTCTTATTCTTTTTTTTTTTCTCATGGTGGAAAAGCAAAATCTGTTCTCTTTTCCATGTAGAAAGCAGTTTTTGGAGTGAATATAGTTGAGAATAGTAATCTTGATCAAAGCACAAATGGATGGTTTCCTCTTGGTGGCTGTACTTTAAGCATTGGAACTGGTTCACCAGTTGAGCTTCCTTCAATGGCAAGACATTCATTGGGACCTCATCAGCCACTCAGCGGCCGCTACATCATTGTGACAAACCGGACAGATACTTGGATGGGTCCTGCTCAGATGATCAATGAGAAGCTGAAACTCTATCTGACCTACCAAGTTTCGGCTTGGGTTCGGATTGGTCCAAGAGAAAGCACTGGTCGTCAGGTTGTCAATGTTGCACTTGGCATGGATGGCCAATGGGTTAATGGTGGCCAAGTTGAGTGTCATGATGAGAGATGGTATGAAATTGGAGGATCATTTAGAATTGAGAAGCAACCATCTAATGTCATGGTTTATGTGCAAGGTCCTGCTTCAGGTGTTGATTTGATGGTTGCTGGACTTCAAATTTTTCCGGTTGATCGAAAAGCAAGGTTCAAGTACTTGAGAAGCAAAACTGATAAGGTATTATGCAATTGAAAGATCTTTCTATCTTTCAAAAGTATAAAATAATAAATTTTATATATTTAGGCTAAGTCCATAAACGCCGGAATTAGAAAATTCATGAGATAAACTTTTGCTACCTCGTGCCCAAAGAATCTAACTCTAAACTTGACTTATAGGTCAACTCCTGTTTACTAGCAGAATGACCTCTTAAAAGTTTATGAGTTGTATTATAATTTATTCTCTTAACTTGTTATATTAGTATCTGACATCTGAATCCTGATTTTATTGTTTTTGTTCATAATTTTTTGGCAATACAGATAAGAAAGCGAGACGTGATTCTCAAATTCTCAGGGTCAAAGGGTGGAAGTTCACTAGGCAAATTAGTAAAAGTGAGACAGTCACAAAACAGTTTTCCATTAGGCTCATGTATAAGCAGAACAAGCCTTGATAACGAAGACTTCACTGATTTCTTGGTTAAAAACTTCAACTGGGTTGTGTTTGGAAATGAACTGAAATGGTCCTGGACAGAACCGCGACAAGGTAGCTTCAACTACAAGGATGCTGACGAGCTCCTGGATTTCTGCAAGAACAACAATTTGGAAATCAGAGGCCATTGCATCTACTGGGAAATGGAATATTCCATCCAATCGTGGGTCCAGGCGCTGAACAAAGATGACTTAATGATAGCTGTTCAAAATCATCTAACACAACTTCTTACCAGATACAAGGGAAAATTCAGACACTATGACGTTGATAATGAGATGCTGCATGGATCATTTTATCTAGATCGACTGGGAAAAGATATCAGACCAAACATGTTTAAGACTGCTCATCAACTAGACCCATCTGCTACCCTCTTCGTGAATGATTATCACATAGAGGATGGCTCTGACATTAGATCATCACCAGAGAAATATATACAACAAATTCTTGATCTGCAAGAACAAGGTGCTCCTGTTGGAGGAATTGGAATTCAAGGACATACAGATTTTCCAGTAGGACCTATTGTTGCTTCTGCTCTTGATAAACTTGCCACTCTTGGTCTACCAATATGGTTTACAGAACTTGATGTGTCTTCTGCTAACGAGTTTATCAGAGCAGATGACTTGGAGGTCATGCTACGTGAAGCTTTCGCGCATCCTGCAGTTGAGGGCATAATTCTGTGGGGTTTTTGGGAGTTGCACATGTCCAGAGGGAATGCACATTTAGTGAATGCAGAAGGTAAGATCAACGAAGCTGGGAAGAGATTTCTCGCACTTAAGAAAGAATGGCTTTCTCATGCTAAGGGAAGTATGGACGAACAAGGAGAATTCAGGTTCAGAGGCTTTCATGGAACATATAATTTAGAAATCAGTTCAGATGTGATGAAACTCAACAAGACATTTGTTGTTGACAGAGGAGATTCGCGGATGATAATTCCTATTGATTTGTAATCTCACTTTGCAGGCCTGTACTAACCACTTTCTATTCTCTTGAATTAGGCTATTGAGCTATTGATATGTCAATATTAGTTTAAAATCTGCAGTTGGCAACAATTTAGTATGAAATTAAGGTTTTGTTTAATATGTAAAAATACATTTTCTAGCTTTTATTTTTTAGATTTATAATTATTTCATTCACAAAGTTATGTAGTTCATTTAACCATGATAAAAATGATATTGAGAATGGAATAAAGTTAAAATTTTAAGTATTCTCACACATGATTCTATGAATAAAAAGATACATAAGCACGAGCTTAGGAAATGAAAACTAAAAAATATTTTAATGCACTACTCATAGTTTAAAAGTTCCCTCTTGATAAAATCTTCAATTGGGTAGGATTGAAAGTCTCAATTTTTCAGTTTCTTGCTAAAGTAGATCACTGAAATCATTCCCCAAATCCCAAATCATAAGCCCTTCCAAACATGGATAAAAGATGAAACGCCAAGAAACGTTTAACCCAGAAAGGTAATTGGATGGTTTAAGCAAACTAGCTCTGTTTCACTGTAGAATATTTTTGTCGTCAATTTGACGTTCTGCACATAAAAAGGCATTAACTTAAATGCCTGATTTCCTTAACAAAAGCCCATCTTTACCTAATTTTTCGCCAGGTTTCAAAACCCAGTTGCTTGCAAACAAAGATTCAATAAACAAGAATGGCAAATGTTAAATCTTCAAACAAAGCATCATACCACCCTGTAAACCTTTTATTTCAATTCAAGTATATATTGAGGGGGTTAACCAAATCTGGAAGACAAAGCAATTCAAGGTAACCCTTTTAGAAAATTTAAAGGAATTTTTTTTTTTTTCTAAAATTAATTAAATAATTAGTTTCAAAAAATCGTTGATTGGTTTTTGTTTTTATCTAAATCCCTGAAGAAAAGACAAGTGGGTGTTTTTTTTTTGGGGTTGGTTGCTTGCGTTGTCCCGCGCTTTTCTTACACTTCACTTGAGAGTTCTTGAATATCGGCAAAACGGGTGCGTATATAAATGCGGAAGGTTTCGGCTTGTTGCTTCACAAGTCGATCTTCCAAAAGCAATCGCAGATATAACCATTCCCGTCCGCAGGTACTCTCTTCTCCCCACAAAATCCATTTTCATGGCGATTTGATGAATACCCATCTCGTTTTTCTTCTGATTTAAGGTTGTTTCTGTTTTTTTTTTTTTTTTCCGTTTGGGAAGAAATCAGAGGAAACCATGGCGAACCCACAGATGAACAATGGCAATGACAGCAGAGAGGTATCTGTTCCAACAATTTGTTTATACTGCCTTGGAATATCTTAATTGCTTTAGGTGTCTTTTCTTCTTAAAAAATCCCTGGTTCTGTTTCCCCAATTTATATGATTGTTTTATGTTGATTTGAAATGGAATTTTTGTTTTTGATGGAGCTGGGAAAATGGGGTTAGTGACCGAGCTGCATAATGGCTTTACAGAATATATACTTGAATGTTTGTATAAATGAAAGAATAAAAAATGGCAAAGCTCAATATAATATTTATGGGGGTAGCTAATTAAGAATTCAAAAAACTTATAAAACAGAATTCAAGAGGCAGTGTTTCCCAAGTCATGTTATAGGGGCTACCATTTTTCTCTGCAGGCTGCCAAACAACACTTTGCCAGTTCAAGCCATGGATGGGCTGATAACATTGTAGTAAACTATGACTTCTCTAGTGGGCTGCATTCTTGGCACCCGAATTGCTGCGAATGCTTTGTTGTTTCTGCAGAATCTGGTAATCCACACGGAATGCCGGCAAGGCCAGGAGGTAATTACGCTGTTGTCACGAACAGGAAGGAATGCTGGCAGGGGTTGGAGCAAGATATCACAAGCAGACTTTCCCCTGGTTCTACTTATTCAATTTCTGCCTATGTTGGGGTATGGGCTCATGCTCCGGGATCTGCTGAAGTCCTGGCTACTTTGAAACTAGAATTCAAAGATTCAGCTACGAAATTTTTATTTATTGGAAAGTATGGATTTCGTTACTCAAATATACCATATCATGACTCCAATTTTGTTGTAAAAATGCTGAGAATAGTTATTTTACAGAACTACTGTTTCAAAGGAGAAATGGGAAAGACTGGAAGGTACATTCTCATTGTCAACCGTGGCTGACCGAGTTATTTTCTACTTGGAAGGGCCTTCTCCTGGAGTGGATCTACTAATACATTCAGTGGCCATTAACTGTTCCAGACCTGGGGAGTCTAAGGTACAAATATCCCTTGATTAACACCATCCACCAATGTAATTTATGTTGGATATCTTGAATCATTAAGATTTGATACTGATTTTGTTTTGTGATGGAAGTTATCAGTATTGATTGGTTCTGTTATATTTGTTAACAATCTGATTGAGGTATATTTTTTTTTTCTATCAACTATCATATTAACTTTGGGATATTTTCTTGCTCTTTGTTTTGGAAGAGTTCAAGCACAGAATGTGTCACTGCTGGAGATGATAACATTATTTTAAATCCTAATTTTGAGGATGGCCTGAACAATTGGTCTGGAAGAGGCTGTAAAGCTGCTTTGCATGATTCCATGGCTGATGGAAAGATAGTGCCCCAATCTGGAAAGGTTTTTGCATGTGCAACAGAACGAACACAGACCTGGAATGGGCTTCAGCAAGAAATAACTGGAAGAGTGCAGCGTAAGCTTGCCTATGAACTCGCAGCCACTGTTCGGATATATGGTAACAATGTCACCAGTGCTACTGTGCAGGTTACGTTGTGGGTTCAGGCTGCAAATCTCCGTGAACAGTACATAGGCATTGCCAAGTTAGTTTCCCCCATCACATTTAATCCCAATATCAAGACCGTGATTTTTCACATAAAGCTCTGCAGAGAGTATCTTTCCACATGCTTATTCCCTTGGATTTATTTAGCTTTATGAATCATCTTAGGCCTCTTAAAAAGTGAAGGGTTTCTATCTTGTTGTGCAAGTTGAAGTGACATTATATGTAAATTTAGACAGTTATCCTTGCAATTACTTAAACTGCTGAAGGAAAACCTGTTTTGTTCTTGAAGTGTGCAGGCAACTGACAAGGATTGGGCACAGTTGCGGGGAAAGTTCCTTCTAAATGGCAACCCATCAAAAGTAATAATCTATGTCGAAGGTCCACCTCCAGGAACTGATATTCTTGTGAACAGTTTAGCTGTAAAGCATGCAGAGAAGATCCCTCCTTCACCCGCACCAGTTATTGAGGTTGGTTTCATGAATAACTTATAGTTTCAATGTTTGAAACGAAAATTCTCAATTCCAGGTTTCTTTGCCATTTCTTCTTGGAGCAATATTGACTTTAAGGCATAAAATGTTTGTTTTGTTTCACAGAATCCTGGTTTTGGAGTCAATATAATTACAAACAGCCAACTAAGTGATGCCATCAATGGATGGTTTCCCCTTGGCAATTGTAATTTAAGTGTTGGAACTGGCTCACCACGTATTATACCACCAATGGCAAGAGATTCACTTGGACTACATGAGCCTTTAAGTGGCCTCTACATCCTTGTGACAAATCGCACACAGACTTGGATGGGTCCAGCTCAGATGATCACTGATAAACTGAAACTCTTTCTAACATACCAAGTATCTGCTTGGGTTCGAATTGGTTCTGGATCATCGAGCCCTCAAAATGTGAATGTTGCATTTGCTGTGGATAATCAGTGGGTCAATGGCGGACAGGTTGAGATTAACGATGACAGATGGCACGAACTTGGCGGTTCCTTTCGAATAGAGAAGCAACCGTCCAAGGTTATGGTTTACATCCAAGGCCCTGCTCCCGGTAATGATTTAATGGTTGCTGGTCTTCAGATTTTCGCTGTCAACCGAGTTCAAAGGTTTAGATACCTGAGGTTGCAGACTGATAAGGTTGGTGCTGACTGTGATTTCTATTTTTTTAACAGGTTTGAGAAAGGACAACTAGAAAATATAAAAAACTGAGGTTCCTTCAGGATTCAGCTAGTTAATATTTACTAACATTTTAAGTTTTAAACACGCACCATCTTTTTCATAGAGCTAAACATTAGCACACACTTCCAATAAAACTTTATTCTTTGTCTTATAAAATTCCGAGGGTAAGGTTACTATATTTTCTTGCAGTAATTGTTGATTTGGTTCCTCCTGTCTAGCTTAGCTTTGGATCAAATAATACCTTTCTTTTGTGCAATGCAGATCCGTAAGCGTGATGTTGTGCTCAAATTCTCAGGAGCAGATGCAAGCACTTTGTCTGGCAGTGTTGTTAGAGTCATTCAAATGCAGAACAGTTTTCCCTTGGGATCATGCATAAACAGAACAAACATAGACAATGAAGATTTTGTTAATTTTTTTGTTAAACATTTCAACTGGGCAGTGTTTGGCAATGAGTTGAAGTGGTATTGGACAGAGGCACAGCAAGGAAACCTCAATTACATGGATGCTGATGAGATGCTAGACTTGTGTGTCAACAACAAGATAGAAACCAGAGGTCATTGTATCTTCTGGGAAGTGGAGGCAATGGTCCAGCAATGGATCCGATCCCTGGATAAAAACAACTTGATGACTGCTGTTCAAAATCGTCTAACAAGTCTTCTCACTCGTTACAAGGGGAAATTCAGGCATTATGATGTTAACAACGAGATGTTGCATGGATCGTTCTATCAAGATCATCTAGGCATAGACATCAGAGCCAACATGTTCAAAACTGCTAACCAACTGGATCCATCTGCAACCTTATTTGTCAATGATTACCACATTGAGGATGGATGTGACACAAAATCATCCCCGGAAAAGTATATCGAACACATTCTTGATTTGCAAGAACAGGGTGCTCCTGTTGGAGGAATTGGACTCCAAGGACATATTGATAATCCTGTTGGGCCTGTTGTTGCGTCTGCTCTCGATAAACTAGGAATTCTTGGTCTTCCAATCTGGTTTACGGAGCTTGATGTCTCGTCAATAAATGAGCACATAAGAGGCGAAGATCTGGAAGTCATGCTCCGGGAAGCATTTGCACATCCAACAGTTGAAGGCATAATGCTGTGGGGATTCTGGGAGCTGTTCATGAGCCGAGAGAATTCACATTTAGTAAATGCAGAAGGGGAAATCAATGAAGCAGGAAAAAGATTCCTTGCTCTTAAACAAGAATGGTTATCTCATGCCAGAGGACACATCGACGAGCAAGGAGAATTCAGATTCAGAGGATTCCATGGATCATACATTGTCCAAGTTCTCACCCCCTCGAAGAAGTTCTCGGAGTCATTTGTGGTTGACAAGGGTGATTCTTCACCACTTGTTGTGTCAATAAACTTGTCATGAGTGTTGGAGGTTTCCGGCTGCTTCTTCACCCAATAAGAAGCTCACTCCACAAAATTGATCATATGGTAATATACTGGTGAAATCTTTGCATGCACCTTTAATTGTCTTGATCATAAAAGGGATTGCTTGCAGAAATATTTTCTTGCTTATATTGTAAATGCTTATACAAAGTAATAAAGACGTGTTTGTATATCATTGTGGGACTCTGTTAAGAAGAAAATTCTGCTACGTCTAGCAATTATTATACAATATTAAGTGATTACTATATAAAACCATTTAAATTACTATAGAATAGAATCTTAGAGAATCATCGTTTAAGTCCTGATGTTTTCCAGAAACCATAGTAGCACCAAGGATTAAGTTAACGTTACACGATGAACCTAAACTGGGCTTCTGTGTGAGCAGAGGCTAAGAATCGCCTAGTAATGAACTGGGCTAATGGAAAATTCTAATGGGTTTTGAAAGTCTCCAAAACAAAATGACTCCATGCGCTAAAATTAAACATCCCAAAATACAAAATTCACCTTTTGACTTATATTTTAACACAAAATCATATGATAACAGGTAAAATGATTTATTAGATGTAAATTTTCAGAGATTCTCGTATTTGATCCATGTGAGATTAAATGAGAAGAAGAAGAAAAAAAAAAAAAAAAGTTAGGTGAGGAACACGGAAAGAAGTTCTTGGCCTAAGTGGGTCCAATCTGCTGATATTATTTTCTTTGTTCATGATTCTAAATAACATAACATATCATATCATATCAAACCCTAATTTAGAATAGGCCATTTTCCATTTCAAGTCCAAATTTGTAATGAGAGAAAAATATGAGAGAGAACCTTTGAATTCATTTGATTGAAATTGAATTTTGTACTGTGTACAAACTTTTATGGGTGGAGGTGGTGATGGACCATGGTGGCCTGTACATATAACAAACATGTACCCATAATGATGTGCAAATTAAACTAAGAAAATCAACATCAACGGCAAATCCCTCCAAAAATATATAATTCTCTTACTATTTTTGAGTTATTAAGACCGTGTTTGGGTGAAAGAATTGAAAAATAATTGAAGGGAAAGATTTGACGTAGTTGAGTTGTGTAGCAATCCAACAATGATATGTAATCTTGCCATGTCCATCCAAATAAATGCCCAACCTATCGTGTCAAATTTTTAAATGATGGACGCCCACCATCTAACTCCTAATTCTTTTTAAGAAGTAAATTTAATTCCGCCAAAATAACCCCAAAAAAAAAAAAAAAAGTAGGAAATAATTATGACCAATGCTAAAAATTAAAATAAAATAATTTTGGGTAAACTTTTCAATCATGTTCTACGTGGTTTAATTAAATTAAATTAAAATTAAAATTTTGTCAAAATTTCATGTAAAGTAACAAAAACTCAACTAAATATACTGAACTGTAATTTAAATTGTAATAATTCAATTTCATCTGAACACAATATCACGGATTGTGAATGTACTAAAATTATTATTTTTCAAAATTAATAAGTTTATTAATAATTATGCGTCCTATAATTAACCCTAAAATTATGAATAAAACCTATACTTTATACCCATTAACCCAAATTTGATTTGTTAACTTAATTTTTTTTTAAAAGGAAAATTAGTGCTTTATATATAAATATTATACATGTATATGTAGTGTAGTTGTCGTGAATGGTATGGTGTAGGGCATTACAAGCATGATGGATGTATGATAGGACCCAAAATCAGTGTCATCTCTGTCTCATATACTGCTAGCCGTAGGACCCCACCTCCCACATGGGTGCATAGTAAGCGTTGCCGGCTCACGGCGCACATTAGTCTTTACCCTAATTACAGAGAGACGGGCATGGGTGTCAATATCAATTTTGAGTTAACCTTTGATGTGATGCCAACTGGGACCCGGCCCATCTACATATACATACAGATATATATATATATATATAAATTAAAGCATAAAGTAGCAGTGGCCCTCTCAGATATACATACATCTACATAAAATAAATATATATATAGAGAGAGAGAGTGAATGGTGTGTGTGTGTGTGTGTACATATATATATATATATTAATTAAAAATAAAATAAAATTAAAATAGAATGAGAATGCATTGGGAAACAGCTCCCGCGCTGTTTTCGCGCGCCTGGTCAGTGAAACGACAGTCGAAGAAGGGGGGGTGGTGGGACCCAGGAGAGTGAGTGTTGTGAAACTCTGAGTTGTGACAGTATATTAATTTTTTTTTTTAAAATGGTAAGTTGGAGTTTTAAGTTGTTAGTAGTTCTGTCTTGCCTTCATGTCTTGTCTTCTCTTTTGATACGCCAATCAACTTGACTTTCCATGCCACAAAACCTTTGACTCCTCCTCCTCCTCCTCCTCCTCCTCCTCCTACTATATATATATATTGCATGTGTTTTTAAAAATAAAAATAAAAATAAAATAAAATAAATTATTTTTCTTTTTATTTTTTGGTTGGCACCGAAAATCATTAGCCCAATTCTTAAATAAAATTTCATATTATTTATTAATAAAAACAATAAATATCATTTATAGGATATTACTTCATTTCTCTTTAAATCCTAACAAAAATTATTTCTCAACTGACATCCACTTTACATATTTTATTCTGTACATCATATTTACGAATATTATTGAGTGAGATATAAGATTAGAATGACATTATTAAATAAATAAACGGAATAAACAAATAGATAATTTTTTTTTTTTTACTAGGCTTATATTCATTTATGCACATATTGAGGTCAAGAATATATAAAAATGGAAATTAAAAACACGTAGGTGATTGAAATAAATTTAATTGATTTTGGGGTTAGATGTTCCCCAACATTGAGTCCACCCTCTCGGGATGAGACAAAATTAGTTAAGTGGCTAAATCAGAAAAAGTTCAAATACCCTTCTAGATACAGCCAGCCACCAATTAGTAATGGTAGGTTAAATTTTTAAGACCTTCGTAAACATATATACATATACATATACATATATGCACCAAAAATCAAAAGGCATACACCCCCTTTCATTCATAATCTTTACAATAATATATATATATATATAAATCGATATCTGTAAGATGATCAAGCTATGACCTTTTCAAGGATTAAGCCAAACGTTGCACCACAAAATTCAACTACATCTTCCTCTCTGATTTGTCGTAATTAATTGATATGATATAAATTCTCTTTTATGAATAAAAACTTAAATCGAAGTCTTAAATAATTTCTCTGACCATTAGATTTTACCTTCACATTTACGTGAATTTTAATTTAAAATGAAAATTTCAGTTTAATTTTAAAATTAATGTATAATAAACCAAAAAAAAAAAAAAACCTTCTCTGCTTGTGGTGTCTTGTTTTTTCGGTGTCTCCGTGGACTGTTTCTTCAATACACAAATAAGTTTCTCCTTTCTCTTCAAAAAAAATATTAAATAATTATGTTTACCCAATTTAATACGTAAATAACGGTGCACTATTTTCAATATTGTAATCATATGAACCTGGACTGTAATTAGGTAGGAGACAAAGATTATAGAAAGAGAGAACCGTGTTAACTAATCAAGGCTTTCAATATAAAAACTAATATATATTATAAGTATGTTGAGAGAAACATATATTACTGCATGATAGACTGATATCTACATATATATATATATATATATGTACAGCAGAGAGAGAGAGAGAGAGAGAGTTTTGGTATAAAAAAAAATGAACTGAAAATTGATATAAAAGCAGAAAAGCAAACGTCTTTTCCCAGCTTTGTTTGATTAATTTTTAACCACTTCTTAATGGTATACTAATAATGAACTAAATTAATGAAATTAACCTAAAATTTTTATATTATATTTTAAGAATAACTTTTAAAAATAAAAAATAAAAAAAGAGAGAAATGCTTGAAGTAGATTCTCTGCGAGTCAAGACTGTTTACATCAGATTATGGGCATAGTTGCCCACATCATGACGATGGACCTTCAAAGGGAAAAAAAAACGAAAGCAAGGAGATTCTTTATACCATATCATCTTTTTCTTAAATAAATCTAACTTTATTATTATTCCATCCTAATTTACATTGTCTACTTATATATATATACATACATACATGTTAATTGTATTAATTATAATGCACTAGCGAGACAGGAGAAAGTTTTATGCATAAAATTAATGATTATTATTTTAGGATTAGATGATTAATTTAATAATTTAAAAGGAGACCATTGTCGTGTGTGTTCTTTTAAAAAAGCTCTAATTATTTTGGAAAAAGAAATCCATCAATGGATTTAAAAAAAGACTGTGTAATTAAGATCTCAAAAAAATAACAGGAAAGTCACCATTTTGCATTCTGAGAAAACAACCTGCCATCAATTGCATGTAAATTTAGGAAGACAAGTGAGAAGGAATTTGGGTCTTCTCACACTACAATTTATTTTCATGTAAGTAATTGTAACTATATTTATATATTCATGTATATGTATGTGTCGGGTCGTGTTTTGAAGATTTTTTTATAGGTCAAATCCAAATTTGCCCCACCTCCTATATTTTTTCACCAATATTAACCTGAATCAACTTCAACTTACTATTTGGTAAAAAAAAAAAAAAAAACTACAGTAAGGTAAGTTGGAACAAGTTTTGAAAAGTTAAATATGAATTCCTTACAACTCATTATGATTTCCATGTTAACTCAAATTTGACTTGATTTGAATGTGTGTTTATATGTTGGGTCTAAACAAATCAAGTTTCATAAATTCATATCAAAAATAACATTTTTAGAAATATGTTCACTTACCTTGATTTCTCTCCAAGCTAATGACAATGTGAAATTTAATCTTAACAAGTTGAGAAAATAAATATTTTCTTTTTTTATTTTAATACCAATTTTTTTTTTTTTTATAGTGATTATATTTTTATGAAAGTACTAGTGAATGTCTCTCTCCATTTAATTTTTTTATAAGTTAAATAATTATTGAATAATACACGTTAAATATATCAAGATCTTCTTAAATAACATTTTGTTTAAAAAATTACTTAATTCGATTAATAAGTTCGTCTTAAAATTAAATATTTTTTTTAACGCTACGGCGATTATCATCGAGTGTCTCCAATATAGAATACTCTTCTTATTTTTTTTAAAAAAATAAAAAATAAAAATAAAAAGAAAGAAAAAAATTAATATTTAATATTTAATTTTT